AGAGTTGAAAGAGAAGTTTGACAAGGAGACTCCCTCTCTCCTTTATTATATGTTTTGGCTTTTGAGCCACTAATTCAATCAATAAATAATAGGATTCAGGGAATTCCAGTAAACAATTTCTTCTTTAAAACAGTAGCCTATGCTGATGATCTAACTATAGAAATCAGCTCTCTTTCAGACTGGATAGAAGTGCAGAATTTATTTGACATATATGAAAGAGCCTCGAATGCAAAAGTTAATAAACACAAAACCAAAGTGATTCCTTTAATCACACTAGCTAGAAGAGCAAATCTACCAAACATTGACCAATTCGAGATTACAGAAGAAGATAACTCTATATCTCTTTTAGGCTATGAGGTTTATTCAAATGGCCTATGTAGAAAGAATTTATGGACAGACACAATTAACAAACTTAAAGATACACTGAACAATTTTGCTCTTAGAAATCTATCCTTTAAAGGAAAAATTCTGGTCACAAACTCTCTAGTTCTCTCTCGAATTTGGTACATGACCTATATTCTACCTCCAAACAAAAAACAGATTGCAAAAATAAATGGTCTAATTACATTTTGGATAAAAGGCAATTCAAGAATGCTTTCTAAATACTCCACTTACCAACAGTTTTATGAACAAGGAGAGCTCCAAGCCCCTATTATAGGCAATCTTCTAGATGCAAGAGCTTTGATGGTCTGGCTCAAACTCCTTTCTGGAAATACATTCTAGACAAAGGTCGAATGGACAAGAATTGCAGACATACTATATAGACAACGAAACATCTCAATCAGACAAGCTCTAACCTGCTCTCCAATATGCAGTAAAGCCTGGCCCTCAGAATGGAAACCCTACCTTCTTGCTTGGAAGAAAGCAAATAGAAAAATTTTCTTTCATATAAATTGGCCTTGGAGTTTTGAAAACCTCTCTCTAGGGGGAATTAAAGGGGATGAAGTTATAGTTAAAAAGATAACTGAACTACTCAGAGGGGACCTAACGTCTGGTGAAGTTAATCAATCACTGTTTTCAAACTCAGCACTGAACTGGATACTTCTTAAAAGAGTTGACAACAAGAAAAGAGACATCTTTTGGCGTCTCGCACATAGAGCTTTACCACTAGGTTATAGACTTCAACATTTTTCTGCCCAGGAATCAGGCTCCTGCCCATGGTGTAAAGATGACCGACAAACAATTGAACATTTTGCAATAGATTGCAAAGTCAGCAAGAAGATATGGACAGAAGCTTACAAACTGATTAACATAAGATGAAAACCAAGTATCCCATCCTCTTTGGAGGAAATCTTTACTGCAAAAAACTTCAGTGAGCAGAACCACCTTAACACAGCAATATGGATTCACATAATCACAATATATAAAATTTGGTGTTGGTATACAAATACCAAATAGGGCAATGCAGATAATGTAGAAGCATCAATTCCCTCAATCATCAGTGCTCGAATTCGAAAAGAAATTCGAGCTCTAAGTTTAAACTCTCGTTTGGGTTCTGTAAATAGGAAAATTTATAAATATCTTAGTAATGTTAATTAATATTTAATATATAAGAATTTAATAAAAAGTGCTACATGCGCCCCACATGCCATTTAGACATTCTGAGATAGTCAAAAAAAACTAATTTTAGTATTTGAAGTTCCTTTTAAAACCTTCTATTGACAATGCTGTCTATAATACCTTCCAGGGTTATATTACCTCTCCATTTGGCCTGGATATACCAGAGCCAGATTTCATAAACTGCTTGCATATGCACACAGATTGCCGCTTTCCGCTTCTTAGGATCCTTCATGTTTGTAGTTAGAAAAATTTCCTTAAGGGAGTATCTTCTGTGTCGGTTTTAAGCACCTTGTAAGCTTGTTCCCAAATTATTTTGCTAAATCTACATTTGAGCACAAAGTGTTTCACAGTTTGGGTTGTATGAGGGCAACCTGGACAGTCAGAATCTAAGTTCTGTGAAATGTGATCGAGGCGGCAGTGCTCTTTATAACAGCCTCCAAAAGACATTTTTTTTCTTGTTATGGATATGTTTTAGTTTGTTCCAGTTTGTAAGGCTCTGGTCTTGATTTTCTGGTCTTACAGTAAGAGTGGGTGCTGGCGCCAAACTCTCACGTAGAGCTTTTGTGGCTTTGACCGAATATTTATTGGCTGTGAGGCTTTTGATTGTTATGTTCTTTAGTTGTCATGGCCAATTGCTTGTTGCTATAATTTGGCCTGGACTTTTATCCATGCTTTTAAATACGGTCTCCATCTACCAGGCCAACCTTTTAGCTTTGTATTGTTCATCAATAATACTTTGTTGATTGTTTTGTTTCTTTTATTCTTGATTACAGTGGCGATAGTTTCCCTCTCTGTCCTGGCCCAGAAGTGGTTGCCAGATAGAAGTTTGATCCATATAGAGATAAGTCTTGTGTCAAGCATATCCTTTAGGACGGGTGTGTTTAAACCTCCTTGTTCATAGCCAAGTTGGAAGGTTGAGTAATGTAGAAGCATCTTGGACTTACTTTTGACCTAGTAGGAGATAATTATATTGATTCTGTTAAGCTGTTTCCTATTTGGTGGTAACAGGTAGGCCAAATACCAAATCTTAGAAATAACAAGAGCCTTGGTAACAAGAATTTTCCCTTTAAGGGAAAGGTTACATGTTGCTAGGTGGTCAATGCTCTTTTTGACTTTTCTCGTCAAGTTCTGTCACATGTCTCTAGATGGGTTACCAGCGATGTCTGTCTTGTATCTAAGAAATTTCAAAGATTTACTTGTGTTGTGTAGTTGGAAGAGATCTGCTCCTGCAAGTTGGATTCTGCGGGCATTTTCCATTAATAGTACCAGGGTGGTTTTCAGGTTATTAATTTTTGCATTTGATGCCTTTTTATATTTATTTATAATGTGTATCAAGTTATTTCAGTCTGTCAAAAAGCCAATACTGACTGTCAGGTCATCTGTATATGCTGCTAGCTTGAAGGCCTGTTTGTTGATGTAGATTCCTTGTAAACTGCGTTGTATTGTTAGCAGAAGGGGATTAAAGGCTATAATATATAGTAATGGAGAGAGCAGGTTCCCTTGCCTAACCCCTCGTTCCACTCTGAATGGCTTCGAAATTTTACCGTTAGCTGAAATGTGAGCTTGTTGTAATAAAAAAAGCATACTGATAATTCCGATGAATTTATTGTCAAAGTTCATTTTTTTTAAAACCAGCTTAAGATATGCATGGTTAACTCTGTCAAAGGCTTTTTGTTGATTAAGCAATAAGAGCCAGTGTTGCTTGGATTGGTCGTTTGACTTCTGAGTACTGTTAGGATATCTAAGCCTGTATCTGTTATAGATCTTTTTTTTACAAAGGCTTGTTGTGCTAGGCCGATGATGTGCTCGCAGATTGGGTTGATGCGGTTGGCTAAAATTTTCATGAAAATTTTGGCATCACTATTTACCAGTGAGATAGGCCTCTAGTTGTTAATGTCTTTGAGGTCATCTGATTTCTTCGGTATCAAGGTGATTATGTTCTTATTCTAGGAGTTAGGCATATTCACTGAATCTAATACATAGTTGAATAGTTTTGTAAGGATGGGAAGTAGCTTCTTCTTCATATCCTTATAAAACTCATATGTGAGGCTATCTGATCCAGGCGTCTTGTTACTGGAAAGAGAACTTATTATGTCACTTATTTCGTCTTCCTCTATATGTTTAGTCAATTGTTCGTTTTGGTTCTTGGAGACTTCAGGAAGGTTCTGTGTTAATTCAATTGCAGCTTCCATATCAAAGTTTTCTGTTTTATATATATTCAGATATGTTTCTCTAATATAAGTAAGTATTTCAAGAAGGTTTTCTTGGTCCAGATTTGTAGGATCCCATATTTCTGAACTGCAAGAAGTAGCATGTTTAGCTTTATAAAGGGAGAAGAAGTATCTTGTGGATTTTTTCCCTTCCTCAATCCACTTGGTATTTGACCTTATTTGCCATTTCTCTGAGAGAGATACCAGCTCTTCTTGTATCTATGTTTTAGTGTGCTTTGCAAGGAGATTGAAGTCGGATTGCTCTGGGTTTCTTGCTATTTTATTATTGAGATCAATTAGTTTTTTTATGTAACCTCTGTGAATTCTTCTCCGGTAGCGGATCAGGTTTGAAAGCTCTGATTATTGATTGTATTGCACATTTGTACAGGTCCTACTCTTGGATAGTATGGATATTTTCAATTTCCCTGGTAAGCTCTTTTTTGAGTTCTGGAATAGCCCAGCACTTCCTGTCACACTTCCAGTTTGACATAGCTCTATGTTTTGCTTTGCTTGAGATTGTGCTTTCCACTAGTAGATGATCGGAATTGCCAAACCAAGTTTGAGTTTCAAAGTTGAGGTGCCCGTAATTGAAGTCCACAAAAATGTAGTCCAAATGGGTGGCCATCTTTTGGTTATTTTGTGTGTTTTGATAGAATGTAAGAAGAGGGTTGTTTCTAGAGAAGTATACTGTGTCCACAAAATCCTCCAAGAGGTCTCGTAATAGTTCTCTAGAATTGTCTCGTTGTGATAACGCTTGACTGATCCGATTAATATCAGGGTTTAAATTTATATTGAAGTCCTCTGCTATAATACTTAGGACATCATATCTTCTAATAGAGGACCAGTTATTGAGGAACTGTAATCTATCATCTGGATTTGGTGGAGCGTATATATTTGTTACTACATATAGGCAGTGTTTGAACGTAAATTTGGTTGAGATTACTCGATCGTTATGTGAAATTTTAGTCTCTATAAACTTAATGTGTTGTTTTTCAGCTAGAATAGCTGTCTTAGAGGTCCAGATCGATTCATAACCCCATTGCTGTATTAGAAAGTTCCTTGTTTGAATGTCTTTAAGGTAATAATATTATGTCTATTTTGTAAAATTTTAAAAGCATTAAAGTTTTTTGGGTCTTTGTTTTATTGTTGAGGCCTTTAACATTTAATGTGGTGATTTTAATCATGATTAAAGTGTTTAAGGTGTAGGCCACATTTGTGGTTGTTCTTTGATTAGGTATGTGAGTAAGGGGCCTTTTGCGAGGCAACTCCTTTTCTTGTTTTAGCATTTTTAACTGTAATTGGAAGGTTGCCCCTCCTGCTTCTGTTATTGATTTTCTTTTTCTTTGAGGTAACTAAGGTGAATTCTAATTCCTTCATAGCCTCATTCTCAGTATTTTTATTAGAGTTGGTTGCAGTATTGATATCAGTCATCATATCTGATTCTGGCTTTGGGGCCTCTTGATCTGTGACCGTAGTTCCTTGAGACAATTCCATGTTGGCATTTACGGCATTTTGATCAGGCTGCTCAAGTATTGCTATTAAAGTTTCCTTCTGTGAGATTTGCTTTGTCTCCACATTAGCTTCTTTAGCATCTTCTGTAATCATGTCAGAGATATAAGGGTTTTCTGGGCTAAAATTGGTTTGTAAATCTGTATCATTTCTCTTATAATCTTCATTCCTAGTTACTATTCAGTTCATTAGCTCTTTTATCCTTTGTCTGAATGCCATGGAGGCTTTTAATTTCTCACAATCTTTTTTGATATACCCAGTTTTCTTGCAATAGTAGCATATTTTAGGGGCTTTTTTCCAGTTTGTAGTGACCTTGTGATCCCCTATATGGGTTTGTCTAGGCAGTCTTTGTGTTAGCTCTGGATCATCTGTAGTTTCAAAAGTGATGATCCATTGGTCTGAGCATAAATGCACATGTTAGATCAACCTTATCGATGTATACAGTTTATATTAGAATAGTAAAGAATCAGATAATTGAATTGTATTATTTTGAGGTTCACCAGATCTACTTTAAATTTTTATAAGATATATAAAGATATATATAAGATATTATATATAATTGTATCTGATATTTGTCTTTGTTTAAACAATATATTTTAAATATATATGTTTATTTAATACTTTACTATGATCAGTTTATAAAATAAATCAATTATTTTATGGTATTTTAAAATGATAAAATAATTGAACTATTTCATAAATCTGAGATAGTAAAGCATAAAATAAAACTGTTATTGTATACAAAGTATGCAATAACTATATAATATTTTTAAATATTGGCACCCTGATATTCAATATATATATATATATATATCTTGCTTTTTTATAAGTAATATTTTAATATCCGATATTTGTAATAATTATATTTGATTTTATCTAATATTTTATAATCCGATATTTGCCAATAGCTACCTTTTTTTAAAGTTTTTAGTAATTACATCTAGGTTAAATATTAACATATATAGGGTATTAAAAACTATTCCCGATATTCATCTTATATAAATGTAATATATTTTAAATATATATATATATATGTTTAATATCAGAAACCTGATATTCATCTTATATATAACTAATTTTTATATGTTTTATCTCTAATATTTTAATGCTCCGATATTCATCCTATCTATATATAATATTTCATACCCCGATATTTATATATTTAACCTGTGTTATCCTCATCTTTTCAATACTAATCCATATTCGTGACAATAACCATACCAAATATTCTATTTGAATTATTCTTATCTAGCTTCTTTAATATGCATATTCCTTTTCATAACACTTTGTAAGTTTGGTATCCCATCTTGATATATTCTGTTAAAGTTATATGTCTATAGATTTTTTTATAATAAATGAATGCCCTGTACTCATTTTTTCAATGCTAACCCCACATTCATAACAAAAAACCAAGCCAAAGCATTTCATCTAGATCAGTCATATCTAATTCAAATATATAATAATAGTCAGAATTTTATACTAGTAGGGTCGTTCACCTAACATATAACCACAAGCAACTTTAACAAACAAAGTCACACAGCTACTAAATTTCATAGCAACATGTGAAATATAGTGCATAAAGAGGTAACCTCATTTATGCATATATATATAAAAGCATCATTATAAACAAGCAGACTTGTATAGTATTGTTCTAGCAATATGTATGCATTATGTGATAGATTATTTATCATTATTTTTTTTATATGTTTTTTGTATGTATTTATTTATTAATGCATTAAGTTGTTTGTAAAATTGTTAAGTGAATAAGATGAAAGAAAAGTTTATGAATCAAAGTTTTATTGAATAGCTCAAATATCAATTATCATCTTTGCAACAATTAATTGTAATATTCGATCACTAGCCAATTACATTGAAGTAGGTGCATAGTGCAAAACTTGAATATTAGACAATGTCTGAGTCCAAATATGTCCGAGTCCAAAATATTTTATTCAGATATTGTCCGAGTGACAATCCAGTAATTCAAACACAACACAAACTCGAACATTGGACAATATTCGAAAATATCTAAGTCCAACAAATATAGCTCAGACATTCAAAATGTACAACACTGGCTCTACCCATATACTTGGAATTAGTGCTAACTATTGAACCTCTGTAATTACCTACTTCCACTCTTATTTAGATTCACAAAGACCTAGGGATATACCAGTTCTAAAAAAGACCGGTCCAGAGCCAGTCTTTTCAACGGTCCCACAGTCTTATTGGTTCTGGTCTGAACTGGTCCCAAATCGGTCCTTGTAAACAAACTGTGATATTCATATCACCCAATCAAATTGCTTAATCAGGTGTAACACAAATTATATAATGTTTGTTTACATCTGACAGTAAGTAATTATATCATTTATGACCAATAAGATTTGGTTATTAAGGACCATTTTGGGACCACAGATGGACCAAGACCGAAAACACTATGATAATAGTCTCACTAAGACCAGGACAAACTAGACTAAACTGGTGCATCTCTAGCACTCATATTTAAACCGTCTTCTTATCTGGATTCTTTATTGATTTCTTTCTCTTACTTTCAGCTAGCAACCCAGAAGGGTTGGTCTGCTCAAGCTTTAAGTGTCTGAAAAACACCCTCCTCTTAGTACATACTTTCAGAGCATATATTCTTTTCCTTCGGTGCAACAGAACCCGGCAGTTCAGCTAGTGTGTCTTCTGCCATTAGGACCTAGTTACTTAGTTCTTCGATCTCAGGCTCTGGTTTGAATTCAGCCCTCCTGTAGTACTATCAAAAATTACTATTATTTCTAACTCGGAACTTCCCAAATGGTTTTTCGGTTATTCCAGTTTCTCAGATTTATTGTGCCAAAGCTTCTATTACTAGATAGTGTGACCAAAATTGCAAATTTAATTTTAGATTCAACTAATAATCAACAACCATCAACTATAACACAAGCCTATTTTTCAAAATCATTGTTTGTGGAATTTAAACTCTAGACCTGCTACTTAGAGAGGATGACAACTAGACCACCACACTAAGTCGCCATATATCTTGAAGTATTGATTTTCGTGTACTAGCAAATTTGTTAATCCTTATATTTAGATCTTTAATCTCATATATCTTAATAACTACTAGTCTGATTTTGATGATCTAACTACTTTTTGTCAAAAAATTTTGGTAGGACCGGCACAAAACAACACAGAGAGAAAGACCTCTTGATACCACTTAAAAGAAAGTAAGTTACTAAAAACAACAAAAATAATCTTCCTTCTAGCCAGAACTGCGCTACTTGTATTTTGTCAGTAAGTGATAATGACAAGCACGGGTTTGCAATGAGTAATAAACTCTAAGCCTGTCAGCAGGTAGCGTATTAGAACTACCTCTAAACGACAAGTGCTGATTTACTGTCCCTCTTTTCACGTCTTATGTAGTTTGGCTAGTCAGTTTCTACTGTTTTTGTTAAAAGTTTTTTCGACAAAATTTGGTTCAAGTGATCGTCAGAAAGAGTTCCAATGTTGTATGATGTAAAAAATATTTTTATAATATTTTTAAAATATTATTTTTTTATTATAAAAACAAATACAACTTTTTACAAGTTTCTGTAAAGTATATCAGGAAATTTAATATATGATTCCTATTTTTTAAGTAATTTTATATATAAAGATCACAATAATTATACAAATATTTAAATTAAATAATTTCAAATATATAAATTTACTTATAAAATAGAGTAGAGTACCTTTCGAGAGACTACTGCAATGCAAATAAAAATCTTATATATAAAGATCTTGCTTTTGATGATTAACTATATTAATATACAAATTACATATTGATCTGTAAAGTCTGTAGTTGTTAAAGAAGTCTGTTTAAATAATACTATACTTTGCTATAGTTGTTTCTATATTAGGTTTGCTGTTCTGGTTTTTTATTTGAATTTCTAAAAAAAACTGCAAATTTACAGAAGGGTTTTTTATTAGTTAAATTGTATTAAATTTACTTAGTATATTTTGATCATTTTTTCTGGTTAACTCATGGATTATCAATTAATTTTAATTTAATTTATTAAAACTAAAAATTTATTGTTTTTTAAATATTTTAGAATCTAGTAATTAGAATTAAA